TGCAACGCAGTGCACCGCAATGCACAGTTGCAAGTCTGTTATGTTAGACCAACGTGCTCTCACCCAAACGCAAGTAATGTCAACCGTGGATTAATAGACCCTGACTGTTAGTTGGAGGGATTGCCCCCCAAATAGTGACAAATCAACCTGAAACTTGGTTAGGATTTCACACATTGCAGAAAGACCGACCTGTTGTGCCACACTCAAGCCATTGGATTTCGTGGACTGTGTTTTTTTCCCCAGCCTCAGTGTTTGTGGGGTTCTTGCTTCTCTATATAGGGGATTATGATCGCAACATTTTTTGCCCTTGCTGCCTTGTCTCCCAGTCTTGTCTCCCTGCATCGTGACAATCAAAGACAGTCAAAAAATGCGAACTTGAAGACTGACCGAAAAACATCTGCTATCTGGGGTTTATGCCATAAGCTGTCTTGTTTGTTGCTAAGCCTATTTTTATATCTAGGTCAAAGTTTAACCGCACGACTTCATGGAGAAGGCGATCCACAACGGTAGCGTTGGAATTTTTGGTTTCTTTGTGGCCGATTTATGGTCATTTTAAGAGCCGAAACCAGATTCTTGTCCAAGAAATAAGCTAATGGGCGAGAGGGATTAAACATCACCAAAATAACTGTTGATATTGAGACATATTTCATTGCCATACACTGGTAGTATTCAGTAACAGGATGTGATTTTTTTCTCCGAATCATCGGTGATTGAGCAGATTCGAGTACAGATTCGTTTTGCGTCAAGTTTTATGTTCCAATCGTCCGGGCAGAGTCGGAACACGAAAAATGGTGCACCCAATGGGTATGCCAGGAATGGTTTTAGCGGCTGAGATATAGAATGCTTAGGGCAGGATATGTTTGTCTGAAAGTCTGAAAGGCCAAAAATCCTGTGTTTGATAGTCACATTCTCCATGAAAGTAGGTATTTCGGAGTATACACCATTTTCATCCGCACCCATATGTAAAGAGACAAGACAAAATGGAAAACAATGCGGAAGCCGTTCGTAAAAGGGATCTACATACCGAGGCCCAAGCGCCCAGCTATCTCCTTCACAGTCATTGGTTTCTTCCAGTAAAATTCCAGTTTTCGCAGATTTTCTGTGCCATTTTTTTCGAAACATCATAGGTTTTGAAGAAAAACTCTACGCAATCTTCACCGTTTGCGCATGACTGGTGATTCACGAACCCATTAACCGGAGTGCTGTGACTGGTGGAGGTGAAGCAGGTTGTGGGTGACTTTTGAAGCTCATGTTACTAAAATTACTATGACTATACTTTCTATCCCTCATTATAACTCATATATTTTCGTATATATATAGTATGTTATAAGATCAGTTATAGAATATATGAGTGGTTTTTCATGTTCCAAGATATGATGTCATATGAGTGGTTTGATAACTGTAATATATGTATATATCATATACATATATCATGTATCATATATCATATATCATATATCAGGTATCATGTATCATATACATATATATATATACACATGTAAACCTGATGGGATACATAGAATACCCAAAGGGTTCAAAAATGGCATCGGATCCCGGCGACATCGCCACGCTGACCGTTTCGCGAGGTTACGACCCCAACAATGACGACTACGACGTGAGGTCAGCCGTCATTCAGCCGCTAGAGATGGACCAGGTGGGGCAACTCGGAGGTTCGGCACCGTTTGGGGGGAAACATGGCAGAATCGCCATAGAAAAATGGTGGTTTCATGGTGAAATATGATGGTTTTGCCATGAAAAATGGGGGTTTAGCCATGAAAAATGGTGGTTTATCAATGGGGAATATGATGGGTGCACAATGGGGAAGAGGAAGTTCGCCTACTTGGTACAGGGGTAAGAGTTTTATGAAGCGGTCCAGATGGAATCCCAGGGTGAACACCAAGATATGGCTGATATAAATATAAATATATAAAGATAAATATGTATATATATATAAATATATACATACATATATATATATATTTATGTATGTAGATATATGTAGATATATGGATGTTCATCCCCCAAAACCATGGTATGATAGGTGTTGACCCCGTATGGCTATGTTTTTGCCATCGGTGCACTATCCCCGTATGGATGTGGTGGACATTCGGCGAAATTCTTGGGATGATGGGGATGACAAGGGAAGCATTCTCCATTTTTTTTACCCTCTGGTAAATTGGATTTATACCAGGTTTATAGTGGATTTATGGGTTTTCTATGCTAATAGGTAATGGGGATTTATGATGGTATATGATGGGTTTTATTTGGATTTATGATGGTATACCCTTTGGTAAACTAACAGTTTGCTATTGAACGTGGCCCATAGAAATAGTGGATTTACTACTATTAATAGCATGGTGATTTTCCAGTTCGTTATGTAAACGTTTATCATCATTACTAGTTATAACCGTGGGATAATGGCTATATATCCCATGGTTCATGAACATAGTTTACTACTGTAAAAAAGTCCCCATTAACCTTAAATCCACAGGTTAATCCTGAAAACCCCCAGCATTCAGATGCCTCTCATATTGGTGGTTCCCCTCTTATCCCAATGTAGGACAATATGGGTTATATTGCTGGAATTATATTATTAGACTTACTGGTGCTAAACGCAGGGAATGAGGTAATGATCCATTATCACTAGTAATAATCATCCCATTCCCCCATTCCCATCCATTCTACTAAGCACCAGTAAGTAGAGGATAATAACATACAATATGGGCTATATTAATCCCTATGCAATGGACAAAACCCCATAGGGATCAATTCCAGCTGTGAATTCCCCGGTTGGGATTCCAAAATATTCCCAAAGGCAGAAAATATGAGGGGTGAACTTTGGGTGAGTGCCCAAGGTTCCAAAATGTTCACCAAAAACCATGAGAAAGACGCCCAAAATTTCGGTGACATCTCCACGAATTTGTCTTGTCAGTGTTATCTTTGACCATGCCATATCAAACTGTTGATAGATTCAAATTTCTAAGTAAGGTTGATTCCATTCCCACTAACATCCCCATTTTTTTGTTCGGCTGGACTTTGCAGGTATTTCTTATCTATAAACCTCATGGATCTTATGCGTGGGGGTGCAGTTTGGGTTATTTTCATAGTTATAACCATGGGATTCTAACCTCCAAAAGTTGGTATAAACCCTACAACTATAACCCACTATGGATATATATATATATCCCACTATAAACCCACTATGGTTATATAAACCAAACTAGGACCTACAACTACACAACTATGGTTCTATAACCCACTTCATGATGGCGGTCTTTGCCCCATTTTCAGACAAACCCATCCAGTATACGTCATCCACGGCTCATCCACGGCTAGTCAAACGTACCTTAAAATAACCGTGAATTTTCAACCGTTTCTATCTTTTTGGAGATTACTTTATGAAACTATAAAAAAGACTATAGACATAAAATTACTATACAGTGTCATTCGTATTTTGGGGATTATATATTACAAATAACATGACATTTAATAACTCTAGCATTAATAAATGCACACGTTTCTAATGATAAATAACATTAAATACCTATATAGTGTCATTTTGTTGTTTGTTACAAGATCAATATATGGGTTTGATGCAACTGTTATATTTAATAACACAAATAAACTCTCATTTTTCACTAGCATTGCTGTGAGTTGAACTATCAGATAACTATTAACTATACTACAACATCTCAAACTGATATCCATTGAAAGTTGAATATGATACTATCGAACATGAAACATCTAACTGTGAATAACTATAGTATGACTGTGAACTATATACAGTATTAGCCTCTGGTTATTCAACATAGCCATGGAAAGATCCACCCATTTTTAATTTCGGTAAACCATCTATTTCGATTAGGGCCATCGAACTACCATGGCAATCTGTTAGTCATAACCAGATGGTAGCTATATGGGTATGGATCAATACCTATTAATACCATTTTTACGGGGATGAACATCCATAAATCCCAGCTATTTTGATGTGAACTACAGGGGTACAAGGTTTTGACACACTGCCATATCATGACATATCTATTTTTCATGAGCTGAAATCCATCCCACCGTCAGGTGCTCCGCGGGAAACAGCGGCAGATCAACGCCCTGCTGCATCGCGTCGAGGTGGGGCGCCGGGCGCGGTGTCTTGCAGACATGGGGGATGGGAGTAGATCTACCCTATTGGCATATGGGATGTTTATAGCTGTAAGTAATAGTAACTATGGGATATATTGATATATATATATAGATCTATCAAAAAAAGTTAACTATGGGACATTTATACTATAGTTATCTATTACCATTGCTGGAGTGTTTTGTTATATGGGATATCGAACTGAATGAAAGCTATACTATGTTCATCATTTTCCCATATTTCTATTATTATACTTACTGTAACGATTACTATAAAAATATGGGATATCTATCTTGGGGGATATATATAGGTATAGTAAATGGAAGGGAGATGATGGGAGATCATGGGATGGGTCGATTTTTTTTTTTCAGCCCTGTGGCTAATTCACCATCTACCCTCTGGTAAATTAACATAGCTATTGAAAATGGCTATTTATAGTGGATTTTCCCATAAAAAAATGTGATTTTCCATAGTTATGTTAGTTTACCAGAGGGTAATCATTAGGCTATCCAATAAATTTGACCTGTACCCTAACATAAGGAGATTGCCAACATTTTTGGATTTCCTTACTGCTATGGCCACAAACCATACAATGCAGTACACCCAATAGCAACTAAGTAATCTATCCCAGCACGCAACGATTTTGTCACGTTCAATGCATTAGAGAGGGATTTTCGTGCTACATGTCCAATTCCAACCCTTGAGTTTCACATATTACCGCAGTCGGGCCCGCTTGAGTCAGAGAAACGGGTGCTGTTGATTTGAACGCGTGCTATGGCATGCGTGGTGTAAGCGACATTGGCATCGGAGCCTGGAAGGTCAGCGCCTAAGGGTGTTCTCTGAAACTGTGGCGGCAACGAGCGGCATGGAATTTCAAGATAAGCAGATACCAGTTTGGAATGGGAAACCTGAAAGTTTTAGCCACTTTGTTCACGAAGTGAAATGGACCTTATCGGCCACAAAACGTGGAGAAAAGCCATTGTTAGCGGCTAAAATAGTCAGAAAAGCCCTTCAGAGTGGTATCCCGGCATTGGTGCAGCTGATGTACAAGTTGGAACCGTCAGACTACAAGTCAGAATCTGATATCCAGAAACTGATAGCCTTTTTGGAAAAGAGCCCCCTCAACCGTCAAGCTCTACCAGATGCAGGCAATAAGATTGGTTCATACTATAGAAGACTTCAGCGGCATCACAATGAATCAGTACCTTCATTTCTCATCCGGGAAGACAAGATTCATGATGAAATGCTACAAGCATTACAACGACTTTTACGAGACAAAGAGCTGGATTTCGAAGGGTATGAAACTAGTCTAGAGGAATTGAAGATGTTCTGTGGCATGCGTCCAGGTGAGTCTCTTTACTATGGCAGCCCTGATGACGAAGCGTCGGTGGCCGCGGAGGACGATGCAGGTTCAGCAGCATCTAATACCTCTAGGACTGCTACCCCATCGAGACCAGGTGTACCAGTGGGTGAATCCACGGCTAGACAATCCTCAAGTAGTTCAACCCCAGGTCCCGAGTCAGAGATCAAGGGCAAGGACTTGATTGAGAGACTCATGCAAAAGGGATTGTTACCATTAGCTGCTTTGGATATTGTGCGTGGTTGGATGTTATTAGAAATGAGTACTTTGACTGGTGATGACCGAAGACTTGTTCGCGCGGCAACCAGGAACAAGTTAGGTTACATGGACATTAAATCAGCACTATTGTCAATGTATGAGGAACAGACCCAACGTATCCCCATCAACAATAACAAGGGCGGCAAGAATGGTAAGGGTAGTGTCTACTTCGGGGACTATGTGGAGCCATGGGAGATTGACCCAGATGACCCTAATGTGTATCCGGAGACAGGTCTCTTTGCGGGTGAGTTAGGTGACTATGGTGACTATAATGGTGGTGACCCCTGGAGTGATGATGCATGGTGGAATACTACATGGTCAGGTACAGATGATGCATGGTACAATGACATGGGTAGTGCTACAACTCCAGAGACCCCATCTATGGTTCCCCAAGATCCCGAAACGGTTCACCACTTGCTCAAGGAACAAGATGATTTGGAGCGCCAGTTCAACGAGCTGCAGGCGCTGACAGCCGAGAGTGAACGAAACTTGGCAGAAGCGAGGAAAGCAGTTTCTTTGGCGGCAAAGGACCGTGGGTGGAATCAACCGCCTCAACAGCGGCAACCACGGTTCACCAGCACATATCCAGTGAAAGGCAAGAAAGGTGGCAAAGGTAAGTCACTACATTATGGAGAAGAAGCTAACTGGATCCATAACAAGAGCAATGGTTTCAAGGGCAAAGGCAAATACAAGAGTTCTTTTGGCAAGTCGAATTTTGGTAAGAACGGCAAAGGTGGAAAGTCCTATGAGTTGCAGTTTCACGAGCATGACTTCTATCCTATTTTCTCAGCAGATGGCAACCCAGATAAGTTATCCCCGAGTGAATCCGTTGTCGACACAGGTGCAACGGCTACAGCTGGCGGCCGATGGGCAGTGGAGCAACTATGTGCTGCCATCATGGGTAGTCGGCCAGAAGCTTCGATTGTCGTGCACACAGATGATCGACCATGGTTTCGTTTTGGTAGTGGAAGTTGGGGTCAGGCATTATTCAAGGTAGTCATCAAGGTCGAGAAGTTAGAGGTCATGATTTATTCACTTCCATCCCCAGGAGTACCAGTTTTGACCGGCATGAGAGAGTTAGAGAAGTTTGATGCAATTTTGGGTTGTAAGAGTGGAAGATGCCTCATCAATGGCAGGCAAAAGACACTTCGCAGAACTCCAAAGAAACACCTTATCATTGACTACTTGAAAGACGTGTTTCCAGAACAACCTCGAAGTTCCAACTCAAACCCATCATCATCCAGTGCTTACTCGGCAAGGTCACTGAGCGAACGAGTTCAGCTGGTGTCGAAACCTCCGCAGAGGACTACCACTGGGGAAGTGCAAGAATCTCAATTTGCCGAAGTACATGATCTCTGGACATTTGAGTTGCATGATGATTTCATTGACCATGAGATGTACACGATCCAAGAACATATTGAGCCCAATGATGTTTTCGCAGATGACACTACATGCAATCATTTGTCTATGGCACAACACATGAACATCTCCGAGGATAACATACTTTTTCTTACTTCTAGCAGTTTTTCAGACAAGCCAGAGAAGCGAGTTCGTTTTGATCCCACATTGTCGACGGAGACGATCGCGGTGAATCATGACGGCACCAAATTCGAAGGAAGATCTGAAGCAAATGTTGAGAGAAGTAGTGAAAGAGCAGCTTCAGGAAATGTCAAGTTCGAGCCATACAGTTCCAACACAGGCCAGTTCAAAGGCAAAGTCAAAAGCAAGCCCTCACAAGAACAAGACTCAGTTCGACCATACGAGAGCTATGACGATGGACGAACGAGATCCTCGAACACGGAAGGAGACTTGGCCTTGCTTCGGAACTCATGCAAACATGTCCACTTCGAACAACCGATTTGCCCAGTGGACGGAATGTTCAAAGTGCGCACTGAGGGTACAGTATGTACCGGCAGTGGGAGCACCAGGACAGTCCACCCGTACCGACCTGACAATGAATGTGACAGAGGCAGTTCAGAAGCTCAGGGCCGAAGGCTGGGAGGCAGAAGAGATGACCGGATCGGCAATGAAGGCAGCCATCGCTATGGTGGCGAAGGAGAAGATTATCAAGAACAAAGGCAAGAAGAACAGTGGCTATCCCAACAAGGAGAAGGAGAAGGAATCTCGAAAGTTGGATCAAGTGAAGACTCCAGCCAAGATGATGTCTGTGCCAAGCTCGGAGGACGAAGGAAAGTTTCAGTTGGTGAAGGCCTCGGAGGAGGCCAAGGAGTAGAAAGAGAGGAGATGGGCCTTGAGGAGGCCCAAGAGAATGTACAGGAGACTGGCTTTGAGGCCAGCATCAGAACGCTCTCCGGTGAGGAGCGAAAGCAGCTACTTCAAGCTGCAGACCAATTCAATGTTGGAGCCACATTGGCTTCATTGCAGGACTGCGGCAGCCCTTTCACAACGTGGGAGGTTTGCTGTTCCTTGAATTCAACTTTGACAAAGCTATGTCAGAAAAAGGGCATGACTGCGGTGAGGAAGACATTTGAGAATGGATATGACATCGAAAAGGAAGAGACTATGCAGAAGTTGTTGGATGACCGAAGGAAAGAAAAGCCAAACAGATCATGGTGGAGTTTGAAGTGCGCACCATGGACAAACATCCAGAACTTGAACCAGAGGAATGAGGTCCAGGTTGAAATGTTACGAAAGAAGAGGCAAAAGGGTAGAAAGGCTGCGAAGATTGCGTTACAAACCATCATCAAGATTTTGGAAGAAGATCCAGATCACAAATTTTACTGGGAATGGCCGAAGAATGCTTATGCAGGTTGGACACTGCGAGAAATGAGAGAGTTTGAGAACTACATGCACAAGATTGGCATTCGACTATTTTGGACAGAAGTGCATGGCTGCATGTTTGACGTCCAAGCCCCAAACGGCGACCTCTTGAAGAAAGAATGGTTGGTGATGAACAATGACAGCGATTTCCATCAACATTGCCAAGTGAAGTGCGATGGAAGACACCAACACCGTGTCGGAGGAGTCGTGGGCATTGGAAAGGATGCAGTCGAAGCAACAGGCTATTATCCAGAGAAGATGGCCGAAATGATTGCGAGGAGATGGAAGAGCCAGTGGGAGCAAGTGAGGAGAAAGAATTACCATGAGACCGTGGAGAAAATAATCTTTGCCATGGATGAGACCACGGAAGAGGAGATGGAGAATAAGAAGGAAAAGACATTGGAGGAGGTTACAAAGGAAGAGCGAGATAAAACACATGCTTTGCTTCACAAGCTCCACAAGGCCTCAGGACATCCTCCCAATCGAGCCTTGGCTAGACTATGTCGAGATCGAGGACTTCCAAAATGGGTGGTAGAAATGGCAAAGCAGCTCAAGTGCCCTGCGTGTCAACATTCAGAACCTGGAGGACAAATGGTGATTCCTTATAGCCTGGGAGCGAAACCAAGTCCATGGCAATTCGTGACTTTGGACATCATGGACATGATCTACCCAGCTCTAAGATGCAAAGTGCGTTACATGATCGCCACCTGCGTGGTCATGAAGTTTGTGGCCATCAAGAAGACATGGCAAGGATCAGTTGGAGAGGCAGGAACAGATTCAGGAAAGATTCTCTCTGAAGTTTTTGCTGATATGTGGTTGGCTCACAGACCTCGACCAGCATGGGTGATAGTAGATCCACAGACTTCACTCTCAGCAGGCCAGTTCGTGGAGTTCATGCAATTGGCCGGAGTTGGAGTCAGTGTCTCAGCGCCAGAAGCACATTGGCAACAAGGAACCATTGAGAGCTTGATACGAGTCTTGAAGAGAACAATGAAAAGATTGCGAGAGGAACATCCACTCATCGATCCACAGACATGTGCGAACCTTGCAGTACTTGCTCACAATCACCAATTCAAGACCAATGGTTTCAGTCCAGTCCAATGGGCATATGGTTTTGACCCAGATCGCCAGAACCAAGATATTGAGCCGGCAGAGTTCAACGCACACCATCACCATTTGCCATATGAATTTTGGCAAACTCAGAGATTGAGGAAAGAGGCTGAGGATTATTGGAGACATGAACAAGCAGTTGAAGCGTGGACAAGATTGAAGAATGCTGCACCACGTCAACCCAAACAGTATCAGATTGGAGAGTGGGTTTGCGTTTGGAGGACTGCAGCATGGAGGTCGAAAGGCAAGATGATCAATCCTGAGCCGAGATACGTTGGCCCAGGAAGAGTGGCACTGATTGAACCAGCCATCATTGCAGAGAACAAGCCAATGATATATTGGGTTTTGATCGCAAATCAAGTATGGCGATGTTCACCGGAACAGTTGAGGAAAGCCAGTGAACAGGAGATTTCAGTGGAAGAGCTTCAGAAGGGTCAAAAGTTCAACACTCCAATCATTGACATGCTGAAGAAGACAACAAAGGTCATAGACGTGATGAAAGAACCAGGATATCCTCACGATGAATCGTCACTTCCTGACCAACCAGGATCTCAAGCAGCTTCATCACAACCAGAACATGTTCAAAGAGCACAACCCTCTTTTGAATGGACTCAAGACATTGAGAAGTTCAGAGACGATTGGAGAGCTCTGAGAAAGAGACAAGCCTCAACACCTTTGAATGTGAAAGAAGAAGCTATGAGATGGAAACAGTTGGTCAGCACGAATGAGAATAGACGCAGAGAAGGTCTACCACCTTTGATGGACCTACCAGAACTTCCACCCGATGAAATCCAGGTGGAAGATGGATTTCAAGCAGTACAAAGTACACTGAAGCCAGGACAAGAACAATCGATCCTGAAAGCCGAGAAATCCTATGAGGAGATCATGGCCCAGGTGGAGTTGCTGGAAGAAAAACTTCATGTCATTGACCAACAGGACAAATTGAAAGAGCAGGTTGCCAAAGAGAAAGAAATGGAGAAGCAGTTCAAGCAACACCTCGCAGAAGCTTGTGACCGAGGTGAAGAAATTTGTGAAATGGTCATTGAAGTCGATGACTACAAGCAGTTTCTTTCCAGCGGCATCATCTACATGAAGAAGATGATGGAGACACCAAAAGAAATCAACTTCAGAGCATTGACACCAGAAGACAGAGCCCTGGTTGAAGAATCCATGGCTCGTGAGCTTTGCGAAGTACTGGGATCAGCAGCTTTGAAGAAGGTTCAAGATGACATTAGTCCGGAGGAGGTTGAAAAGAGATGCATTCCTATGCGTTGGCTGCTGATTTGGAAGCCATTAGATGAGTACAAGAACCCAGCGGCTGAGGAGAAACCAGGAGTGATTAGAAGTGACGGCTTAGCGAAAGCTAAAGCCAGGATCGTCCTGATCGGATACAAACATCCGGATCTTGGCAAGAGAGATCCGAGAACAGGACAGTCGTTACTTCCAACATCCTCTCCAACGATGTCAAGAATGGCAAGGAATTGTTTACTTCAAGCAGCAGCACTAGATGGTCATACCATTGAATGCGCAGATGCGAAATCTGCATTTTTACAGGCAGATCAACCGTCCAACAAGAATAGGATTTTCACCAGAGCCGTGCCAGAAATCTCAGTGGCCTTGGGAATACCCGAAGGCACAGCACTAGAGGTTGTTGGACAGTTTTATGGTTTGACGACAGCTCCTAGAGGATTCTGGTTAGATGCTGATCATAGAATACAAAAGATAGGAGGAAAGCCCCACATGATTGACAAGTGTGTTTGGATTTTCACAAACTCAGCTGGAAAAGTTTGTGGTCGTATTGGAACACACGTAGACGATTTTCTCATTGCTGGCAACCTCGATGATGAAGAATGGCTAGCGTACCGAGCCCAGATCCTTAGCATGTATCGCTGGACTCCTTGGAAAAGATCGTCTTTCACATTTGCAGGGGTTCGACTTCGTCAATTGCAAGATTTCAGCATTCTATTAGATCAAGAATCTTTTTGTCATGAACTTGAACCAGTTGCGATTTCAAATGAGAGAGGACGCACAAAAGATGATAAGTTGACAGCCAGTGAAATCAGTCAATGCAGAGGACTGATCATGAAAGCCCAATGGCGGGCAATTCAGTCGGCGCCCCAATACTGCTGCCGGATAGGGCTAGCAGCATCGTCTTTGACAAAAGGCACGCTTGACGTTCTCAAAGAGGCAAACTCCATTATGAAAGAATTGAAGAAAACGAGTCAAGACTGTTTGATTTTTCACTCTTTCAGAACTGAAAATCTCACATGGCGAGACGTTGTATTTGTTCATTTTGGAGACGCAGCCAGAGGCAACAGAGTAGATGGAGGAGACACAGGTGGGTATATCACAGGTATAGCTTCACCATCCATACTAACTGGCAAAGTGGCACCATTGAGCATTTTGGACTACAAGTCTTGGAAACTGGATAGACCGGTTAGAGGAACTAATGGTTCAGAAGCTCAAGCCTTGTATGTCACTGAGGATTCTGGCTGGAAGATGCGATTGGTATGGGCATTGATGCATGGCGAAAAGCTCAATCGCGTCAACGCAGATCACTTGGCTGCAATGGTTGAGTCCCTCTTAGTGATGGATTCTCGTGGATGCTATGATGCTTTGAGCAATAGTGATAGTCCTTTCCTTGGAATGAACAATGCCAAAACTGGCACTGAACTGATGAGTGTCCAACGCGGTGTCAGGGATGGTAGCAATTGCTATCCTACGTGGTGTCCATCTGACATGAATTTGTCAGATTGTATGACCAAAACCTCATTAGAAGCTTTCAAAACATTTGCACTTTGGAATCAAAAGAAATCATGGATTATTAGGTTTGATAGTGAGTTTGTTGCTGCTAGAAAACAACAACGACTCCGAAGGCAAATGGGCAAGACACCTCATGCATTGTTGGATCCCACAGATGAACAACTCATGTTGAATGAATTTGACTTGGATAGCATGTTCACTCGTGGTTGAATTGAGAGTGGGTTCCATGTCACGTTCAATGCATTAGAGAGGGATTTTCGTGCTACATGTCCAATTCCAACCCTTGAGTTTCACATATTACCGCAGTCGGGCCCGCTTGAGTCAGAGAAACGGGTGCTGTTGATTTGAACGCGTGCTATGGCATGCGTGGTGTAAGCGACAGATTTGGAGGTCATTTGAAATCATCCCTCATAGAGTCCATGAACAATTATCCTCGATTGGGACGTTTTTTTTTACAAGCCAAAGATAGAGTTTGGGGATTCCCAGGATAACATTGGAGACTCCTCGTGGGGAGAACATGGCTTTTTGATGCAACAAGAAATGAGCAGTATTCACATGGGTTGATGATGTTACAGTAGTATATCTTAAGATATGTATTAATATTCTTTTCAGATATTTTTTGCTGGTTGATGTTCTGATTTTTTAAGGGAATTCTATTGGCCAATAGATAGCTAAGATTCATGGGGGATTCCCATCGCTAGTATGATTGCTTCGATTGGGGATGATGGGATGATGGAAAACACCACGCTGTCACAGTTTGCGAACTTGGAAATGACACATGGCTAGTAATTTACTTCGTTGATTTACCGAACTGGAACATGGTGATGTTCCAGTTTGGAAAATGGAATAGTTTACCAGAGGTTTCCCCGGGCGGTTGATGAGTTCTCCGGTTCGCGGTGAGGCGGGTGGAGAACAGCAAATGCTGAACCACTACCTGCAGGTGGCCCGAGGTCCTAGATACAGCCGAGATGGTCCCGAGATGGGTAGGAACTCATGTCACGGATGATGATGGTCCAACGGTTGATGATCGGCAATTGGCAATAGATGGTTGGCAATATTACATGGATATATAACAGTTAGTTGGAAATATCATATCCCAACGAGTTGCATGAGTTTTTTTTCCCCAATATTTCTGGGTTGATAGTAAGTTCCCTGTTACATGACACCCATCCCCTATCGAATAATGTTTGTTGTCCACCAAAAAACGGGAGGATGATCTGAAAAATGACAGTTTTCAGGTTGAGACCGCCAACCAGACGCAGATGGATCGAAAAAACGGGGCAAAATATTGATGGTGAGACCAGCAAAACTGATGTGAAGCAAAATGGAGTTTGAATCAAGACACTTGTTGGACGATGCGGTTGATTCTGGGTTCAGTCTTGAATCAAGGGACCTTTCATTGATATGAATTTCAAGGCCTTAAATCTGGTTTATGATACCATTATGATAGATATAGATGAAAATAAGCCAAGATATAGATATAGATGATTGATACCATATGGATATATGATCATTAATCTATGATACCATTATGATAGATCATTATGAAATATAGATGATCCATTAATATCCATCACCCAGCATGAAGATCCATTCAGCGATGCTTACGGCCTGGGTTGGTGATGTAGAAATTTTTGTTTCATAGAGATTTCATGAGATAGATGAGATAGAAACCACTTATAGTTTCGGCAGATAGAGAACAGTTTGATATGTTTGACAGGTTTGATAGTGGTGACACGGTGAGAGGGATGGAGGTAGCTTTCTACAGAAGTTTTCTGCAAGTGTGGAGTTCTCTCTCAGGGTTGGACTCATGACATCTTGACACAACCTACCCGGCCTGGTCAACTGTTCCGTAACTACGGAAAATCACCATGTTTAATGGGTAAAGCAACGATTTCGACTGGGCCATTTTCAAGTTCGCTAACTGTAAACGTTTACCAGGTCGGGTACATAGAAAAACCATGAGGAACCTGAATGGATCCCCAGAAAAAATCTGAGTCCAAGGAGTCGTTGGACACTCCTGTGGACTTTTCGGCGGTTTTTTGGACCTGGAGACCCGACCTGGTAAACGTTTACACTTGAAAATGGCCATAGTTAAATAGTTGATTTACCCATTAATAGCATGGTGATTTTCCATAGTTATGTAACAGTTTACCAGGCCGGGTAACTTGGATGATGACCCCTCCACTGTTCCGTAAGGCGCGCGAACTCTACGACGAGCTACAGGTGCCAGTCGAATGAATTTGAGGGTGAGCTTCATGGTTTCGAGTCTAAAAGATTCCCTTCAACAAATAACCAGTGATTGATGGTTTCTCTCCATGTTTTTGTGGCCTAATAAAGCACCCGTGGTCCCTTTTTTTTTTTAAATATGATTTTCATTTTTTTGCTAGCACACTCAAAATCTACCTCCGAATTTTCACGGCTTAAATCGATGAAAGTCACCGCCTCTTTCCATGTCTTGGATCCATCAATCCCAGTGCCGAAAAAATCAGGAGCTTGAAGATGATTACGCAAAAGAAAAGGAACTGTCCCTTGGTGGCGCCAGGTGTTTGTTTTTTGGGGAACCTTGGTGGCGATGGCGCCAGGTGCCGACATGGGGATGAACCGAAGAAAATTCACACCATCAAATGATTAGCATTTTAAATGGGGAGCTATAGCTGAAGCAACATTTGAGCAGGGTGAAGACTTATATATAAACATAAATAAACAGATAAATATGAATAATTATATATATAATATCTATATATACATATATATTATGCGCATATCAATAATTCTTCATTTTCTTTTCCTTTAGATCAAATATGATCAAATAGATGATTCCACCATGGGTGGCTTCACCAACATGATCATACCGGCCATGAAAAAATGGGAATTCATCCCATCATATGGAGATCGAATGAGATTTTTATGGGGGATAGCCTCTGGTAATTTGTTACAGTTTGCTATTGAACATACCACATTTAGTTCGTTGATCTACCTATTCAAAATGGAGATTTCCAGTTCGCAAACTCTTAGTTTACCAGAGACGACCAAGGGATTGTGCAGTCTCCTAGACCTCCAAATGGATGATGGTACCAACACCTGATTTGTATCAACCAAGCGATGCTATTTCAGCTGGTTACGTTACACACTTTTTGCGGGTAAAAGCTCAAGTCTTTTTGTTAAAATCGCACACACATGCTGACTAAAAGTCAGAATTGTAGTTGGTCAAACCGCAGACTTCATGAATACAGGCACATTTTTGTTGGTAAAATCACCATTTTTCGAGGTTTTTCATCACCGTTTTGGTTGGGTTTTCTGCCCTTTTCTCCGAATCAACGTCGCGCTGAGTTGGGCGGAGACGTCCTGCATGTCCGAATCAACGTGTTCGAGCTTCGACACAGAAGAGGCCACCGATTTCGATTGCGAAGTTGGAAAAAAGTGTCGTGATGACGATTTTTTATCCCCATATATCAATGTATATATATATATCTATCAATGTGCCATGGTGAAGTTATTGTTGTTGGATTGTATACACAGTCTTTGGGAAATAGTCATTAGTCCATTTTCGCAGGGATACGAAATATATATATATATGTGTTTTGTATATATATATATACACTCATTATGTTTGGATTCCCGATATGGTATGGATGACCATAAACCATATACAATGTTTGACCATGGCACATATACAGTAACCATTAGTAACTAGCAAAAATATGCAGAAATATGATTTATCAATGGTTTAGATTCGGATTTTACTTTTCTATTTGTTTGGGGGGTTGCTATGTACATCCTCATATGTGGCAAGATCAAACGTCGGATTCGATTTACCCATTAATTGGGGGGTCATCCCACCTTTCAAAACAGGCACTATAGTGGCATATGTAAGAATTCTAAAAAAACATCTCCCCAGCTTTAGTATCATATAAGAACAGTATTATGATGATTATGGATGAACCTTAGTATACATGTAAATGGGGACAATGATTGTGATAATCATCATGATGACGCTGATTTGACCAGTTAGAATGGGTGGTAATACAGGTACATATATATATATACAGTATATATATGTACCCATACATACATACATACATACATACATACATACATACATACATACATACATACATACATACATACATACATACATACATACATACATACATACATACATACATACATACATCATACATACATACATACATACATACATACATACATACATACATACATACATACATACATACATACATACATACATACATACATACATACATACATATATATATACATATGTATATGTATATATATATACATATACACATACATACAATATATATAAATATGTATATATATATATATATGCACATGATCATGAAGAACAACAATATCATAATGGAGCATTGGTACCAGAAAAGTGAAACTGAACGGATGTTGAAGCACAAGGTGGATATTTTTCAGCAACACTGCTGAGGCATCACCACAAGCTTTGGGATCCAAGTCCTCCCATTGGACTTCTACCATCTACCCTCTGGTAATGACGAACAGTTATGGCGAACTGGAAAAGCCATCCATTTTTTAAGAACGGTAAATCATCATTTTTATCATTTACAAACGGACCATTGTCCCTAGCTATGCGAAATAATCGGAGGGTATAGCTGGGGAGACTAGCGAAACAAGAGAACTTGAGATTCGGAATGAAAATGCAGTTGCCGTCAAACTGGCTTGGTAGCCAGTTTTCCTCACCATTTTGCTGCTTAAAAGTCAGTCAAATATCCTGAATAACTATGTGATGTGGTTGCCTGGTTTCCATGGTTTTTTCATTTTCCATTTTAAATGGGATGATGCTCCCAACTGACTTTCATATTTTTGGGATGGGTCATGGCATCTTTGCGCAGCAAAAATTGTCGGACAGGCTTTCACTGTTGGACCTTAGGCGAAGAAGTGCTGGCTTCCCCCCAACAAAATCCCAGAAACAAATGAAGGTTTCCAACTTATTACTAATCCATTTTGGGGTACCCCGTTTTTTTTCATCCATCGTATTTTCGGATTTCCAGTATAAACCATCCAGCTATTGGGGTACCCTCTGGTTATTTGTTACATAGCCATGGAAAGATCCACCCATGTTTAAGTTCGGTAAACCATCTATTTCTATGGGCCATCTATACCATGGTGAACTGTTAAATAACCATTTTGGGGTACCCCCATTTCTGGAATCC